GAAACGTCAACATGCTAGGATGCGATCTAACAAACACAAGCAAAAACCAACTTCAATTATCTATAAAAGTAGAAATCAACACATAGTATTAGAGTTCATCTAATCTAAACAAAAGTAAAGGGTTATTAGCCCATGATTACAGAAAAATCACTCATAATCATAAAGTAAACTAGGTTAAACATAGTAAATCTAGGCAAACTGAATGATTAATGAAAAATATTTACTTCAATCTCTCTAACTCTTGCTCTCTAATCGAAATCAGATCTCCAAGGGTTCTTGGTCACCTTAGATTGAAGAAAACATCAGCTCCTTATGCACACCGAAATATGACCTAAAAACCGATATTTATACTTGCCAAATTATAGCTTCCACGCTGTGGCCAAATAGTCGCCACACCGTGGAAATCATTCCAGACGCGTATTCCTCAAGCTTCGCTAAAGGTCAGTCGATAAGGTTCTAAAGGTCACGCCGTGGATCGGGAGATGCCACACCATAGGTTTCTTCTTGATGTAAGCCTCCTCCTCCAAGGTTCTAGCTTTACTCCGTTTCAGCCCCTTTTCACGAGAATGTCTTCCTTTGGCTACAAAATAGAATTTAAACTCTATAAGTATCAAATATCTTTGTATTAAACCAAAATAAAGCTAAAATGTATTAATATATATATATATATATATATATATATATATATATATATATATATATATATATATATATATATATATATATCAACAGGTTATAACAAGAACAATCGATATATTGTGTCAGCCTCAATTCCAATTCCAGAGATACACACATACAATATTTGAGCAAAACGCAATAGTTGTCACTTCTTCCTGGTAATTGTGCTGCAATCAAATTCTTGGTAATTGTGTTGCAATCAATCAATCAATTTAACTCGTGACATTAATTTTTCCAGAGATACACACGTACCAAATAAATCATCATGCTAATTTTCCTTTAGTTTCGGCAAATCAAACAATTCTACACAAATGTTTGGAACAAAGGGGATGAAGATGAATCATACTAGCATACATGAGAAGTTCACACCAATTCTAATGGCCATAGCGTTCAATGTAATCTCATAGCTTATTATCTTCTTCTTCGCTCCAAGTGACTTTTTCATGCCATTTTTGTCGATGCAAGGTGCCCTCACCATTTTCATATCTTTCTTTGACTATCTGTTTCTCTTTCTTGGGCTGCCATCATAAATTAGAACTCTAGAATCGAGAAAACGGTGAGACATTTGAGCTGTTTTTGGAGAAGGAGACTTGCTTGAGATGGAGACGCCATGGGTTCTAGAGAGCGATTATAGAGGGGGATTACGCCATCCACAACCAACAACCATCAAATCTCTTTCTCCCTCTTCTCGCTACGGTGTTGGCAAGCCATGGCTAGCAACCCCCTTGGCACAAGCCAGGGGCGATGTTCAACGCCCTTGGCGACAGGTGGCGACCTCCCGTAGGGAGGCTCACTCCCTGGAGCCTTATAAAATTGGTTGTTATTGATTTACCGAAAATGATAGTTATGTAAAGAAAAAAAAGTTAATTAGAAAGTGTTCATATAACTTATACGAGTTATACAGGAGCTGTTTATACTTTATACACATAAAATATCTTTTTTTGACTTTTTAATTTAAAGCTTTTGAGTACCTTTAGACTAGATCATATCAAATAATTTCAAACCATATTTGTAAACAATAAACTTTTGACATATTCTCAATAGTTTAATAAATATCATGTCGACTGGAAACGTGTCAAGAGTTAACTACACGAGCATGCTTATAAGATAATTGGTCATGGTAACATGTCAATTTAGCATGATTCTGACCTGTCACATTTAAAAATCAGCCAATAACTTGTTGACATTAGAATTTAACCATCACATATAAATATAACCATAATGTATCACAACTAAAATAATAATCATATATCACCGTCATTATTTACTTACTTTATTTACCGCCCTTGATTATGTTAGATGTGTTTTTTATTTTTGTTTTGAATATTATTGTATAATATTCACTAATTAAATGTAATGTCATAAGATGGATTGCAGACATAATGTTCAGACGTGATATTGTTGTTTGAAGTTATAGTAATAAACAAACAGTTTAATGAATGTTTGGGATTTTAAACCAATTAAGTGTCTATGGAATTAATATACGAAATAAACAAAAAAGATTTTTTTTTGTGAAAAGATGTGGTGATTTCTATCACTTTGTGATCTAGTATTTGAACCTTTTTTTGGGTTAATATTGTTTTATAAAAAATACATTAAAATCCGAATTTGTGTCTTAAATTCGGTTCTGTGATCCTGTATTTAACTTGTTTTTAGTGGCAGTTTTATGACATGTTATGGTGGTTGTGAAACTGTTTATGACAAATTTTCTTGTCAGTTTTCAAACAAGGGTTATATGCCCGTTTTTGATCAATTTTTTGGTACACAGATGATCATATCATCTTATTCATTCTCTCTTCTTGAACATTGAGTTTTATCCTATTTGAGATTTTCGTATGTATCCTTGAAATACTTTTATTTGCACAATTCTCATTGATCCAAACATTATATAATACCCTTATTTTCTAACAAAAGAAAGAGGTGTCCTAAAATAAAAGTACAAGTCTCCCAAATTATATGGTTATATTATATCGTTTGATATTCGGTTTTGTTTTTTTGTTTTGAAATGAAACTTCCGTACCCATGGTTTACGGGTCAACATACTATTCCTTGTTCTGAATATGAGACAATGTCCATGAGTCATTACAAACGAACCTCCACTACAAACGAACATTCAGAACCACATGAGTTGGGAAGTGTAATTATTTGACATTGATCCATAAGTTACTCACCATTAGACCTGACAATTCGGGACACAAATACACAAATTCATGTGTGACAGGACATGACACGTGAAAGCGACACGGATACATGAATTACCACGTCTACTCACCAAATCTTATACATCTATCACCAAATCATTACAACCTAAATGATTGACATTCACTTTTGTTGAATCTGATATTAAATTAACTATCAAAACCGTTGATTCTTAAATAAAATGATATATAAAAATAGAATTTGTTTATCTGAAGCAAAAAAACTGATTATTACAACAATTATATGAAATATTGTCTAATAACCATTATATTTAATGATATCAAAAAACCTTTTTTATTTATTTTTAATTTTTTTTATCAAAAGTAGAGAAAATCATGTAAAATACTAGTAAAATTCTTTCAAAAATTCGATTAACAAAAGTTAATTATATTACTTCTAAGTTAAAGTCTTTGGTAATTGATTTGGTTGTAAAAGTTTAAATAAGAACCCCAAAAATGTTAGAAACCATTGAGCCAACCATTCCTAAAGTGAATATGTAATATGATTTATGTATTAAATTATAAGTTTTGTAAAAAAATATATTATAATATTCACAGTAACTATGATACATTATTCATAGTTTAATACTATAAATTATCCGTTCTCACAAATTTGAATTTTTTATGGTGTTTATTTGATTTTTTATCTTCGATCGTATTACTTAAGTCCTCAAGTTATAAGATAATTAGATAATTATTTTCAAAAGCATATCCAAACACTCATTATTATTCACATCTCTAATAAAAAAAAAATGAAATCAAATATTCTCTTACCTTTTGTTTTTATCCATCTTTCTATTCATTAGATAAAATCAAATATTAAAAAAAATTAAGATAAAAAATTAAATTCCACAAATCATTATTTACATAAGCAAACCGATAAGTAAAAAAAATAAAAAGATATTAAATTTTTAAAAAACTAAAATCTATGTTGTCAACTACCACCGTCATGTTAAGGTTGAAGACATGAATAGTGCCAAAGGTTTATTATAATAGGCAATATGGTGGTGATATGACAAAAAGGGTGATGTGGATACTAACCGTTTCTCAATAAAGACTTTCACAAAAGGATGTGTGCCATTTTGGATGGTTAAATGGACCACCAAAAAAATATGTTACATCTATGATCTATCTATCACACAAGCAAGGGACACATTGCCCCATTGATTGTGGGCACATTCTTCCTATTTTGGCTCTCTACCCCCCAACCCCACTTCAATTATTTCAAACAATTATCATCTCTCTCTTTTAAGTAGTTGATGCTTTTCACTATGACCTAAACTCATAAATATCCTTTGTTCAAATTTGACATCTAATATTTAGCGGGCGACACCAAAATTTGAAAAAAGAAAAGAAGATTCAGAAGCATTAATGTTTCGGCTCTTTTAGATCATATAAAATCCAAATCATTCTAACAAAGATAAGTTCCAATGTATATGGTTGAGTAGATTGCGTAACTGGTTAACAATAACAGTACATAAAATATTAAAAACGCATCAACCTTAAATCGTAGTAACTTTCAAATTAAGTGCAACAGTAGTACTCGTGACTGGTCATCAAAAAGGTCTTAATGAAGCACATGCATGAGAAAGCAACTACACTTCTTTTGCCCTTGTCGGATCCAAAATTATGGTCGATTTAACTAACTTCAAATTACTGAAGTCATCAAGTTTGCGATATTTTTTTACTGTGTTTTGTATCACTAAAACCTACAAGTTTAATTTCGTTAATCATATTCATTTTCATATGTTATCTTATATAAAAAAATGTCTAATAATTTTATTAAACATAAAATAAGTCTAGATATTTTCTCGAACCTGCCAAAACTGGTATCGTACGAAATCATTTTGCTTGCATTTTATTCAAATACAATACAAGAAAATCATGTGATTAGTATATTGGAATTGAAGTTATCTACCACAAAAGCCATGTGCAAATATCAATAGACAGCAAATATGCACAACTTAAATGTATTAACCAACTTATATATTATCTTATAATATATTTAGGATTAAAACCTTATTATACAATAAATTTACATATTTTGGTAAAAGTATAACAAAATAGATTTTCTCACCAATCTATACAACCATATTTTATTTTATTGCAAAAAATATAATAATTTCTCAGTAAAAATAACCTTTTTTTTCTTCAGAAACAGTTATTGATGGTAACTATAGAAAACACGAATTTACAAAAATTTGAGGTCAAACTTAGCAACAAAGTTGACTAAAAAGTAAAACCTAAGATTCAGTAGAGTCATGAAACTCATGAACCCTAAAAAATCTTGATGTAGAAGATGATGAATTTACAGATTTCTTTGAAAACCCAATGAAGCTCAAGCAGTATGAGTGCGATTAATCGGTCTATTAATCCGATCAAGAATCCCATTGGCTTTCCGTTTGGCTCTCGAAGTCCCATCTCCGGCAACCCTAGACAGAGTCCCGTACTTACTTTCTTCCTCCTTCATCTCCCTCCACTGCGTCCGATCATTGAAACAAATTGTGTGCAGGATTGCGATACAGTTCTCCTTGTTCCGATCGCAACTTGTCTCCTTGATTAAAGAAAACAAACAAGAAACTGCACCGAGATCACTCATCTCCTCCACCGCCTTCTGGTTGCTCGAAAGCATCGCAAGAATGGCCAATAACTCATCGACTTGAACCCTCTCGCCGATTTTCTTTAAAATCACGGTTACAGCTCCGTCGCGCACCGCTCGACTTTTGTTTTCATGGACGATGCATAAATTGAAGATCGCCGAAGCGGCATCTTTCATTGCGATTACGTGCCCTTCGTCTAAAAGATCGATCAGCGGTTTTAAAGCGCCGGATTTTCCGATGAGTGATTTGTTGGAATCGAGGGCGGATAGAGTGAAAAGGGTTGCAGCTGCATTGCTTCGAGTCTCGATTGTTCCCAATCTTAACGCGTCCAGTAAAATTGGAATCGCGTTTGGTGTTTCGGCGACGATTTTCTTGTTGTTGTCGTGAATCGATAGATTCAAAAGGGTTGTGATCAAATCTTCTTGAAGATCACGGTGAGTTTCCGTTTCGGGTTTGATCACTGACAATGGGGCTAGCAATTGAGGTATCGCATCATCAGATTCGCCGAAAAATGCACGGAAAGACGGGATTCGTTTTGTTAATGAACGTAATGAACTTGCGGCTTCTTTCTGATCGGGAAGACTCGATGATAACTTGTTGAGAAGTGATCGGAAAAGACTTTGATTGGGTTCGGTTGCCAGATTTTGATCGGAGTAGACCAGAGGACCCGGCAATCGAACACCGCGATTCTTGCACCATTGCGTGATCATATCGCGAACAAGATAATTTGGAGTTAGAATTGTGTGCGTAAGAACTTGTTGGGTTTTGGGGCAAGTTCTGTTCCCTGCTTTTAGCCATTTCTGGATTGAAGCTCTATCGTATGTCTGCAAATTAGCAAGAAATGATCAGCATTATGCATTTAGAAACCCAAATCCCAGAAATTTACACGAAAATCTCGATTAATCATCAACCCAGTTGATCAATTTCCGAAATCAAGTTCTAAATCGAAAAAATATTTTTTGAAACCCGACGAGAAAAGCCATGAAGGAGTTGGCAGATTACAGAAGGTGTCGGTGATTGAAAGTTTTGGTATAAAATCATAAGAGAATATTCGTCCAAAATTAAAATCATTGTCAAGTTCTTATCCATTCACTATTCACGGGTATATAAAAGTTAGACTGTAAACGGTGGTCCGGTGATGGGTTTTCCCACCACCGCAAGCGCCGCCGTAATTACCTCTTCGTGTCATCGGACCACCGCCGGAGAACCCATGAAAAGAATTGAAATTAAACCATGCAATGACAGGAACCCACGCATCGTCCCCTGAATCTACCCACTAATAATTTTTTTCAATAAAATGAGTGGGATCGATTTCAATTCCGATTTCAACAGTTTAGAACATTCACAGTGAACATGTATAAACAACGATCAGGAAAAAAAATGAGGAATTGAGCAAAGAAATTACTTTTCCGGAAGAGATGATAACTGGGTCTCTCATGATTTCTTTCGAAAGAGGGCAATTGAATTCTTGAGGACACGAATCAAAACTGGTATTATCATATGATCGATGTTTTCATTGCCTCTTTCAAATCCTTCAAACTCTGCAAAGTTTGAGTGGCTCTATCAATACAATCTATAAATCCAAATCCAATTTCTTCATCTGGTGAAGATTCCTCCACAATCGATTTAACAAGTCTCTGTAATTCCTTCTTCAAGTTGTCGGTCGTCACCTTCGCTGCTGCAGTCGGATCTCTTTCAAACACCCCACTTTTCGCCATTACATATATACGAATAACTCTCTGAAAATTTGGGTTTTGTTGAAAAAAGATTGCGTAAAGAAGACGGTGATCGTTACCAAGAAAAGACGAACACACAGTGTGATTATGTCTTTTTTCTCTGCTAAACTTCCATTACTTTCTTTTTCCAAGATTCAGACAGTGAAAGAAGCAAAGCATATGGATGGATGTGTGGGTTTTAGGGAAGGAAGAGAATGATGATGATGTGGTGTGTGTGTGTGTGTGATATAAAAAAAAAACTATTATATAGTGACTCTTCTAGTTCATTTGTGTGTGAATAGAATATGATATTTGATGAATATAATTTTAGTAAATGAAATTAAATGTTGTTTTAACTTGATACCATTGTAATTTAACGGGGTTTTAATTTTTATATGTATCAAATTTTGTATATCATAGAAGTTATTATATACTGTCACTTCTAGTTTATTTGTATGTGAATACAATATGGTATTTGATGCATACAATTTAATAAATATTTGATGAAATTAAATGATATTTGAACTTGATACCATTGGAGTTTTGACTTTTATATGTATAAGATTATGTAAATCATATACTTATTATATTGTGTCACTTCTAGTTTATTTGTATGTGAATAGAATATGGTATTTGATGAATATAATTTAGTAAATATTTGATGAAATCAAATGATGGTTTAATTTTATACCGTTGTAGTTTAATGATTGTTTTGACTTTTATATGTATAAAATTATGTAATGTAATTCATATGGTTATTATATAGTGTCACTTCTAGTTCACTTGTCTGTGAATACAATATGGTATTTGATGAATATAATTTTGGTAAATATTTGATGAAATTAAATGATGTTTTAACTTGATACCGTTGTAATTTAATGGTGTTTTGACTTTCTCTCTATATATATATATATATATATATATATATATATATCTATATATATATGTTCAGGTTCATTGGAAACCATGCTAATTTTGTGAGACCGTTAGACCAAATCTAAAAATAATTTTAAAATGCAAAATAAAAAGAAAAATCAAAAAATTCTTTTTTTTAATTATTATTTTCGGAACTTTAATTACCTAAAAAAATAAAAAAAATTACCGTTTTTTTTAAAATACGTGAAATATTCTAATAGAATATTACACTGTAAATATTCTAATGTGATTTTTTGAATGTTAGAATATTGTACTAGATTTGTCAGATATGTAGAATATTCTAATATTCTACTAGAATATGTAAAAAAATGTATTTTTATATTTTTCTTTTATTTTTTTTGGTATGTTTTTTTTTTGGAAAATATAAATTCTGAAAATAATATTTGAAACTTTTTTTTTCGAAAATTTTCAATTATTTTGCATTTTAAAAATGTTTTTTTTATCTACTAAATGATTGGTTAGGATTGCGTCTCACGGTTTTACAAAATTAGGTTGTCTCACATGAACCTAACCCTATATATATATATATATATATATATAGATATATATATATATATATATAGCTATATATATATATATATAAAAAGATTATTAAATCATATTAATGTCAATTATAGATATATTAGAACTCATATTTTATTAACTTATTTTTTAAAAATTCTTTAATTAAAAACACAACATAGTGCTTAAACTCTAAAAGAAAGAATATAAAAACATTACGATACATGTAGCTCTAAAATTAGTATCACAACACTAAACTTTATCGACATACATTGTTCCTTGGAACACAAAACTTCGTACAAAAATAGAAGTCTTTTGTAATAAAATGTTATCATAAAACCATCGTGATATTTAGTCCTAAAAACGAGTATTATAAATTTTGCTGACTTATGCGGTTCCTTGGACCGGCGAAACACCCCACAAAAAGGAGATATTTTCTATAATAATATTTGAATAAAAATCCAATGTTTGATTATATATATATATATATATATATAATATATATATATATATATAATATATATATATATATATATATATTATATATTAGATATATATATATATATTAGTGTTAAATTCTTTTCCTTTTTTTTATTCTACTTTCTATATGATTTTCTCTTAAAAACAATATAATCATCAAGAATTGAAGAAAATAATTAAGCCTTTTACTTTTTTATAATGGGTTGTTTTCTTTAATACTGATAAGTAATTTGGTTGTATACTTTATGTGTAAAAAATCTAAAAAATATTTAAAACTTTATATTATTAAATTGGTTTACTTTTTTACCCATAGAAAGGGGTCAAAATTGGTGGTGAAAAAGCCAAAAGGGTGGATTGTGGGCGCAATCACGGAGTCCATGGGGCACACAGCTAACCGGGGACTACGCGGACCAGAAGGGCATTTGACCACCGTCGATACAAAATCTTATTGTTTGTTTCCAATTTAATATTTTAATTCAGTGCCCACCTTTTTTCATTAAAATAGTAATTTATTTGTTTTTCTCAAAAACCAAAATTTAAGTTTGATACTATTTACACTGCGGTCCTCTCGTTTATGAGGATATGTCAAAATGTCCATTTTGATACGAAACGAAGAAGGTTCTAAAAAGTTCGGCAAGACTCTCTTATGACTTCAAGTTTGTACTTAACGTTAAACTTTAATAAAATGCCGTCTTTAGGGTCTGGATCCGTTAGGAACCCAAAATTTGGTAGAAACCGCGATGACTATTCTCCACAAATCATTTCGTCAAGGACACAAACGTCAAACTCATTTACTTGGTCGTGATGCATTCGCACGTGCAGGGCCGGCCCAGGGCGAGCTGGGCCATGGCCCAGGGCAACAAGTCTTAAAGGGGCATCAGATTTCAGAGGTCTATTATGGGTAGAATGCTATTTAGGCCAAAACTCTTATCAACCACCACTAAAATTGATGGTCTGGAACACAAAAAGGGGAAAGCGCACCTAAATGATCTAAGAGCTAATTTGGCGGCAATTGCAAATTAATTTACGCTTCTGACTTCTTGGTCTCCTAAACATCACGCCTAAAAAGCTGAAGAAGACGAAGCGTATGATCATTGAATCAGGGAAGACGACTCAAATAAGTTCTCTTTAATATCTACTTTTATATTTACAGAAGTTATTGTTAATTAGGCAGTTCTTTCCTTCCTTTTAAAAAATCTCATTGCGAATTTGAATTGAATAAGTCATTCTTCTCCTTGAAAATCTGATAGTTTTCTCCTACAGCCGGCGGCATTCTCGCATAAAGTGAATTGGTAAAATTTCAAAGGGTTGAACTGTTGAATTTTTCTCCTAAAGTCCATGGTAAGTATTTCTCACGCAACCAACGTAAACTGTTGAAGATTCCAGAATCTGATAGTAATTAAAGTTTCTAAAGGTTTATGTCTTATATAGAATCCCTACGAGAGATAATTTGAATAGAAGAGGGTTAAACATTCATTCAGTTCTGTGTCCGGTTTGTCAGCAGGCTCGGGAGGACATAAACCATTTGTTTTTTACTTGTTCGGTGGCTTTACAAATTTGGTTTAAGGTGACGAAGTGGGTGGAGCTTCATATCCCTTCGTTTTTGTCTGTTGAAGAGCAGCTGCAGTGGGTTGATGGGTTGACGACGGTGCGCTCTAAAAGGTCAATTATGGATTCTGTGTGCTCTACTTTGCTGTGGGTGTTGTGGACGTTTCGAAATGACATCGTGTTTGGGAATAAGAAGATGAAAAAGGAAATTTTGTTTGATTCCGTTGTTTTTCTTTTTCTTTTAATTGGTATTGTGCTAGGAATTGTAAGACTAGTATAAGTTGGTCCGAGTGGTTGAAAAACCCGATCATGAACTAATTGTTTTGTTGTGGTTTTGCTAGTTTTTCGCTAGCTTTTAATTCATTATGTCGTTCAAAAAAAAAGTTTATGTCTTATATAAGTTTAACTGTAGTGTAATTGTCCAGCTGTGACAACCGTCAAAATTCGAGTCGGTTTTAGATTTGACTAAACTTAGTTGCATATATAGGCACTACACATACTAGACTTAGTAACTAGAAGCTAAGTTATAACCTACTAGAAACTTGGAAACAATTAGAATCAATGGATAGTGTGCATAGATTTCACATTGATATGTGAATTCTATAACTACTTAACTGTAGAGACTATCCATATTCGGGTCATTCTTTGACTCGAACACCATTTCATGAATCATATTCACACATCATGCACTTGACCTAGAAGTAGAAATCAGGTTAAAGTCTCATAGAAACTTAAGTCAAAGTTGAAGAGTAGGACTAGTATACTTGATTCCTCAATTTCGTTTGAATCTCGGAATCACTACATAGAATGCCAATAAACCGCTAAAAATAAATTACAAACAATATTTCTAATTTGAATAAGAGTTATGAAACTCTAAAATAGTTTGAAGTCTCAAAATTCAAGTAATTTTGATATCCAAAGATTTACAAACTCTCAAAAACCCTAAATGCCCTAAAAACTCACATTTATAAACTTTGACCTTAAAAATTCTATAAAAATAATCATGAACCTTATAATATGATCTTATAACAATTAAAATTATGAAAATGCATTCAAGGAAAATGAAATTTAACTCATTAACATTTACCCTTAATTTATAAACCAAAAATCAAGAGTTTTATGCATAAAAACTAGGTTAAGGTGCACATTTATAAAAAGTTGGATATTTTTATAAAAGATTTGAATTTTTATAAAAGAAACAAGAGAGAGGGAGCCTCTCCTCCCCTAAAATCGGATCCCTCTCTTCCCATATCTCTCTCTCACACTCTCATTCTCCAACACACACATCTCTCTTCTTTCTCTCTCTAGAAAACTCTCTCTACCTTCTCTCTACTTTTTCTCTCCAAACACCACTCCATTCTCTCTTCCTCCCTCTAAAGAACCAAGAAATATTCCAGAAAACAAACCCAATAACACTCCTCAAACTCGAAATCTTCATCATCTTGTGGTATTCTTGAAGGTAAAATCGATTTCTACTTCACTTTTCCTTCAAGTTTTGCTCTTTTCTTACACTTTCTCCTTCTTCATCTTCTTCAAAC